TGATGGCATCAAGGTACATTGTGTACCGCTATGTCCTAACACCTTATTAGTTCTGTGGGACTGATGTGCCCGGCCATCTGATACACACTGTCCAGTAAACCTGATTGTCCCTCTCCTCCATGTGGCTGGAGGCAGGGCCCCTCTACTAGTGATCATAAGATTCTCCACTTATATCTTGTACAAGGGGATTAGTATTCCTTATCACAGGTGTTTGAGTAGAAGCAGCTCTTCCAGTCCATCTAGGAAGCTGTTCACCCAAGACTGGAGCAGCAACTTTCATGGGAGGATCATCCTTGACAGTTGTTACCCAATTCACACACCCGTTGCTCCAGAACTGAGGTAGATTTTCCATCCCACTTTTTCACGTCTTCTCTGTGATCCCACAGGTAAAACCATAGGGTGCCCCATGGTGCGTACCTCCTATATCTTCTCTCTCAAGCAGTAGGGTGCCTTCTGTTAATAGCTGAGATGTGGGTTGGTACACGTGGAGAGCTGGATAGATCGTCTCTCAATTGTTTGAACACCTGGGTCAGGAGTTTTTCCACTGCTGAAATGATGGAATGGGTGAGATTGTCTTTGAACTCTTGGAGTTGATGAGTCACTTCATCCACTGTTGGTGCTATGTCATGCCAGGTCATTGATGCCAATGAGTGGGCGTATGATGATGGTGCACTCTGTGTAAGTTACCGTCACATGGGTTGCGTACATTCGACTTCATCTGGATTGATCGGTGCATTCCTGGCATCCAGCCTATGACAGATCTCTAGAATGGCTGATTCCCTCAGGTACTGGAAGCCTCTCTATCGTGGTCCACTTGGCTGAGTGATACATAACATTGTCCTTGCTAGTATACCTTTCCTTCACAGCTGCCAAGAGCCGCCTCCAAAGGCTGAGGGCTCATTTCTCTTTTGCAATTGCTTTGTCAATTCCCCCTTCCCTAGCAACTCATCCCAGCTGCTTGGCTTCCCTACCTTCTAGTTCGTGACTCTCAGCTCCATTGTCCCAGCATTGGAGCAACCAGGTGACGATATGCTCACCCGGAAGATGGCTGAAAACTTTTCATATATTCCGCAGCTCGGTTGAGGTATGGGATCGAGAAGTTATCTCTTTCTCTGATTCCTAAATCAATAACTCTCATTCAGATGCTGTCCCCTCTAGTACACGCTTTGGGTCTTCATCTTTCTTCACTGCACGGGTTGCTCTTTGTGCCTCTCGTTTGCTTTTCCCCTTGCTTATAGGGGCAACTGATATTGGCATGGATTGGTCCTTTTGTTTAGCTATAGTGCCTATCACTGAGCCAGACCCTGCTTAGCTTTCGAGATCAAACAAAATCAAGCATTCTCAAGGTGGGATTACTGTGGGTAAAACACATGCTGTATTTGTGGCAATATGCTGATTCCCAGGAAAAGCAGCAGGCTGGTTTCAAGGGTATCCAAAGGCCATCAAAAAACTTTAGAATTCTCAAATGCTGCTGTAAATTGTCTAATGGGGGAGCAGAGGGTGTGAGGGAACAGCCCCTTCATAGGTTTACCACCCAAAGATGAAAAAAACGATGTGTAGTTCCTAAAAATTCCCATTACATGCCTCCCATAGTATAGAGATGATGGCCACACTGAGAATGCAAGCCAGACCAGTTTCATGATCAATGACTATTGTACCACAAGTCATTACTGTAAAGTACAGCGAAACAAGAAACTTAGCCCAGGCCTCAAAGCTGATAAACACTAAAACAGCAAATACTGGCTGCAAGTAAGGTATGACATGCTGAAACTCCAAGACCAAGTGCAACAACTCTGAGAGCAAATAAATCAACATTGTGACAAGCGACTATTAATCTGAAACAATGCATGCTTATCACAAATACAATTAGACACTTACACAATTTGTACAATTAGACAAATACAATTAGACACAAATACAAATTGACACTCTGGTCAGATCTGCCGTTATCTCAACCCTATGTGCCTCATGCTGGGCGCCACAAAGAACTGTCGTGGTTTAAGCTCATCCAGTAACTCAGAACCACACAGCCTCTTGATCGCTCCCCCCTTCCTCCCTCCCCCCGTGCTCCCAGAGGGATGGGAAGAAGAATTGAAATAACGTAAATCCCACAGGTTAAGAACAGTCCAGTAACTAGGATAAGGGAAATAACAAGGGGAGAGAATACAATTACTCACCACCCAGTGACTGATACTCAGCCTGACCCGAGCAGTGATCTGGGACTTCCAGGTAATCCCCCCCAGTTTATATACCAAGCATGATGTGCTGTGGTATGGAACGCCCCTTTGGTTAGTTTGGGTCACGTGTCCTTTCTGCTTCCTTCTGTCTTCTCCTGCCCCTCCTCGCTGGCAGAGCATGAGACTGAAGAGTCCATCATCGGGGTAAACATTACTTAGCAACAACTAAGAACATTGGTGTGTTATCAGCATTGTTATTAGACTAAAATAAAAAAACACAGCACTGCACCAGCTACTAGGAAGGAGAAATAACGTAAATCCCACTGGTTGAGATTCATGTGGTTCAGATGCTGTCCCGTGTAGTAAGTGCACTGGCTCTTCATGTTTCTCCACTGTACGGGTTGCTTTTTGTGCCTCATGTTTGCTTTTTCCCTTGTGTACAGGAGCAACTAATACTGGCACGAGTCCTCTGGTTTAGCTGAAGTGATTATCACTGTGGTTGGAGTGGTTGCAGTATCTGTTGTAGGGGTTGGTGCAGCCACTGTGCTTGGGGTTTGAGTAGCACCAGCAGCTGAGCTGTCTTTTGCTGTTGGGGCTTGGGCAGCTGTTGTACTTGTCGCTGGGGTTGTTGTAGTTACTGTACTTGGAGTTGGAGTAGCTGCATTATGTGTTGTAGTCAGAGTTTGAGTAGCTGCTGTACTTGTCACTTGGGGTTGGTGTAGTTGCTGTATTTGGAGTACCTGCGTTGTCTGTTCCTATGACATCAGATCCAGAGACCATTTTTTCCCTTTGAAAGTGCTGGATATTGTTGAACAGGGCTCTGTAAGCATAGGCCAAGCCCCAGCACGTTGCCATGATTTGTCCCTCTCTGGTATAACCAGAATGACAACACACCTCATTTGAGTGTTTTAGTAATTTTTCCAGATTTTGCACTTGTTCAGTGGTGAAGTTCCAAAGCACTGGAGGGGCCCACTGGCCTGGATACTTGTCCATACTATCCCACACACCCTGCACTCATGACTGTCCAGCCTCGGGGAAAATCTCTTGGTCCTCCTATATCGTTGTCCAACCCTAGACAGGACCCAAACCCGACCCTGCTTAACTTTGGAGGTCAGACAAAATGGTCGTGGGTAAAACACACTCTGTATACGTGCCAACATGCTGATCCCCATCACAATCAGCAGGCAGGTCTCAAGGGTACCCAAAGGCCATCCAAAACCTTCAGAACTCTCAAATGCTGCTGTAAACAGTCTTGTGAGGGGGCTGGGAAGGTAAGGGAATGTCTCTTTCAAAGGTTGACCACCCGAGGAGGAAACAAAAGACATGTAATTGCTAAACACTTCTATTATATACCTCCCAAAGTATAGAGGTGATGACCACACTGGGAACACAAGCCAGATCAGTTCCATGATCAATGATTCTATTGTATTACAAGTCATTACCATAAAATACAGCAAAATAAGAACCTTACCCAAGCACCCTAGCCAATAAACACTAAAACAGCAAATACCGGCTGTAAGTAAGGTATGACATGCTGACACTCTGAGATCAAGAGCAGCAACTTTGAGAGCCAATAAATCAGCATTGTGATGAGTGACTATTAATCCAAAACAATTAATGCTTATCACAAATACAATCAGACACACTGGTCAGATCTGTCGTTATCTCAATCTTTCGTTCCCCATGTTGGGTGCCACAAAGAACTGTTCTGGTTTAAGCCCAGCCGGTAACTCAGTACCATGCAGCTGCTCGCTAACTAACCCCCCTTCCTTCCCCCACTCCCAGAGGGACGGGGAGGAGAATCAAAAGAATGTAACTCCCACGGGTTGAGATAAGTACATTCCATTAACTAAGTATAATGCATAACCACTACTGCTACCACCAATAACAATAATGATAAGGGAAGAGAACACAACCCCTTACCACCCACCGACTGATACCCAGCCCGACCCGAGCAGTGATCAAGCCCTTCTGGGTAACTGCCCCCAGTTTATATAGTGGGCATGATGTGCTGTGGTATGGAATACCCCTTTGGTTAGTTTGTGTCATGTGTCCTGTCTCTGCTTCCTCCCGGCTTCCCCTCCTCCCTGGCAGAGCATGAGACTCAGAAAGTCCTTGGTCAGAATAAACATTACTTAGCAACAAGTAAAAACACTGGTGTTATCAGCGTTGTTCCCACGCTGAAAGTCAGAAACACAGCACTGCACCAGCTACTAAGGAGAAATGACTGCTACTGCTGAACCCAGGACACAAGACAACAGAAGCAATTGAGGAAGTGAAACATCTGTTGAAGCTCAGTGAATTTACTGAGGAAAAATGTTCTACCTTTGGTTTAAATTTCTGACCTAATATCAAATAGAAGTCCTTGACATGTGCATTCTGGAAGGTTTTTTTTTCTCTGTTTTGGCTTTTGGTTGTTTTGTGTTGGGGTGTGTGTGTACGTTTGTTGTTATAAACTGTACTCAGTTTAGATAGCCAGTTCAAAGATGATCTGTAACACCTCAGTAGTTTAGAAAGAAGTGGCATCCATCTGAAGTAGATTCTCTTGGAAAAGGGAAAGCGTCAGATCTTTTCTAAACATGCTGAATTTCAGCTAACAACTGGTTACTTGTACAAGTGCTAGTTTGTATAAGGAGACAGCTACTAATATAATGCAATTTGGGAGCATTAAAGTCAGATACACTGTACAGTGATCCATATCATCAGTGTAGTACACACAGACATTTTTATAACTTCATCTAATTAGCAGGGATTCCCTTTGTGTGGCTACTGAAATTAAATTATCAAAAAAAGAATTCTTATGGAGCAATGCATTTTGCTTACCTTCTCTGCTTCACAGCAGCAACAAGGTCTGGTCCTGAGAACATGGAGAATAAACTGTCTCCATTAGCTGAGGAGGCCTCATCGCTTGAGCTGGCAGAGTCTCCTTGAGTACCAGACCAGCTATTTGTCACATCACTGTAAGACAAAGAGTTGTATTTGCTGTTATATTTTTAGTGCCTGGTCTAGACTGTATGCCCTAGGAAGTTATGCTGAATCTTAGTCACTGGTGATACCTCACAGCACAAAGACATTTCGATACTTTGTAAAATGTAAAATTTGTGAACTTAAATTTGTAATACAAAAAGTGATCACTTAGAAATGAGAGCATCAACTGCTTTGTCTGTTACAGTCACTTTATGTATATTTTACTAAAATAATTATAAAAATTTAAAGTGCCTCTCTTGGTCAGGAAGGAGAAACAAGTGATGTTTGGTTTCGGAATCGCTAAGCACTTGACTTTTTCATTGCAGAACTGAGCTGGAACACATACTTGGTCCTACTGATTTTAATCTAGCTTGAGAGTCACAGCTTTACGTCATGGACAAATGAACAGAGGATCTTGAAACACTTCTTTTGTGATAAATAGTTATGATTTGGAAGAGATTAAGAATTACTAATGTACTTGTTGTAAAGTACCTGCCTTATAGTATAGCAAGACTGAGTAGCTAAAATCTGGAAAGCTGAATTCAGTCAGGTACTGCAACTTCAGTAGCAACACTTTTCATCAAAACTAGGTCTTAAAGGTTTTCAAATTGCTGGAAAAAAACCAATTCTGAATAAATCTGTGCTATAAATTCCTTATTTCCTCTGTTCAAGTTGAAGTCAATATACATTCTATTGTAAAGGAGACATCAAACAAATGTCAGTGCCTCAGTATCAGCAAAGCAGGAAGGGCTCAGAATTCTCACTCAACATAATGAAATACAGCTTCCACAGATGCATTAGCAATTGGAAAAAACACTCAATATTCCCACATTCTGTCAAGTTTGTGAGTAAAGCAGACTCACATACAATAAAAATGTGCAGTCTTCCAAATCTTACCCTTCTGTGAAATGCTCTGGAAAGGGGCAGGTTTTATGAGGATCATCAAGGAAAGGCCAGTTGTTATGTGTGTTGCTTGGGCGATGGGCATGCTGTGCTTGCCTTTTCTGTTGCATAGCCTGGTTGACCCCAGCAACATAGCTGGCAAATTCTGGGTCAGAGCCAACTGAACAAAAGAAACCAAAAAGTCAGTTGCTGACATTAAGCTATTTCTACTGCAGTTATCTCCCTCTTTTAATCCTTTAGGCTTGACCATACCCCACCAACAGAAAGTAATTCCCTCACAGATAATAAATGCCATACAACTGTTGATAACTCTTTATGAAACAGTGAAGAGCACATCCATACATAGTGAATAATCTCACATGGAAGTACACCTGCCCCTTGCCTTCCATCCGGGAAATAGTATTTGTCACTATGATCATGTCCATACACTGAAAAGTCCAACATCCCATCAGCAGATGCTGATGTAATTAAAGCCTGTACATTTATTTAAGTTCAGAGAGAAGGAACATACTAATTATTGTAGTTGATTCCAGACTGCAACATGATTTCCCGCTATGCTGTGATCCTGCTTACTCTGAGAAATTAGAATCTCGGATTGAACATATTAGAACATATAGACCAGAAACTGCCTTACTTCCTAAAAGGACTAGACAGCAATTTGAAAACTATTCTGATCCTGAACTGAAAAATATTTCAGAGTAAGATTGATATATACAGGGAAAAAAAAACCCAAACCCAGCAATTCTTAAAAATCTTTCCATACTTAAAGGGCTTGATGTGTCCCAAGCATCTGATAAGTGATAAGAATGATCTTGAACAGACAGCAAAAGCCTTAATAATCCCAAATTGGTTTAAATGCTCAACTGATCAGAGCCAGTAATTCCTGTATTAAAAAGAATGCTGCTGTGAGTCAGTGTAATTGAGTTTCCATAGCTTCTTTTTCATTTTGCCTGTCCCCCCTCTCCTCCCCTGAAGGAAAACTTTGCAATCTGACTGGATTTATGGAAAATGTCTAGACTACATGCATAGAATCATAGAATAGTTAGGGTTGGAAAGGACATTAAGATCATCCATCTAGTTCCAACCCCCCTGCCATGGGCAAGGACACCTCACACTAAACCATGCCACCCAAGGCTTTGTCCAACCTGGCCTTGAACACCACCAGGGGTGGAGCACTCACAGCCTCCCTGGGCAACCCATTCCAGTGCCTCACCACCCTAGTAATTGCAGCAGGAAGTACAGAGCTGTTGGCTTGCTGGTCTCAGTTTTAAATTAAGAGTGGAGACTGAAGAACATCCAACAAGCATGCACAGCTCAAAGCAGAAACCAGTTTTTCATGTGATGGCTTCCCTACACTCAATTCAGCATTCAGAAGAAAAGTTTCCTCATTTTCATTTGGCACATTCAGAAAACAGCTCCACAGTGTTTTGTTGGCTGCAAATTCAAATGACAATAAAGAAAATAATTTGTTTCTATACATTCTTTATTATGTAAGCAAGGGACAGAGCTATCTGACAGCTGTCGGAAACAAAATATTCCCACTAATACTTGTTCTCTTTGAGAAATATCTTTATGTCAGTTTAAAATGAGACTGGAAAATAGACAGATCCTCAGATCTGAGGATAGATTCTAGACAGATTCTGAATGGTGTCCACATTTTTTTCCTCTGGATAGCATTAAGTCTTAAATTACTTTTATATTCAGAATAGTAACTTGTGTTAATTTTTACCTTGATAAAAACATATCAGGTAAACAGCTTTTTATAAGAGGTTTTTGCCTTCATTCTTTCACATCTGTGAAAGTAATTCAACATTCCTTCTACTAGTTCTCACTGTAACATTCCTTCCTCAAGTTCTTACAGATGATAAAAGTACTGCAAAACACATTTTTGGTCATTAGTTAAGCCTTCAAAATGAAAAGCCATCAATTTTTTAAATTCTTAATTAGCAGATTTTCATCTGAAAAGAGACATCATTTTCAGGCTCTAAAATATTTATCAATAAAGTATTGCCATTTATTTCAAATGACAAATGTATAAAGTCCCAAGAAAGTCTGGAAATGAACAAGTGTTTTGTGTTTTAAAGCTTTCTGTGCTACACTAACTAGAGCTTAAATTGAAAACTCCTACATCACAGCTCAACCTGGCAGGTTACATGATGAAAAGTTATCTTTCCAATGGAAGAATCTACTTGATTGGAAGTTAGGGTTTTGGGGTTTTTTTAAACCCTGTGGAAAACACTGTCTACTTATCACTTGTACTGTAGAAACATATGTCTTAATCGACAGCACTATTTATCAACTTGAGTAAGTCACCTCTTCAAATTATCACTTTCAAAGTCCTTGGTATTCATCATACATAACCAATGGAACAAGTAGTTTTATGAATATCAAAAGGAAAATCCTACAGAAATTCAAAATGCTAAAAATGCCAGTCCTCTCTATACATGTATTTTTTTTCCCTACACATACATGTATTTGGCGCTCAGTGAAAATAATTTTACCCTTAAAGGTTGTGATCCTCCTTAAGTATATAGCATAAGTACATTTAAATAAGATGACACTAATTCAGACACAAAATTGTTAAGAAGCTTTTGATAACATAACTACACTGCCTATTTTTGCTTTAAAAACTCCACTAAGTTGACTAAATAATTATCAAAATTGAGTCAAATGAGCTGGTTTCCGAGATGCCTCCACAGTCCTCACACACATGCACATACAAAAGAGTGTGGGAAGCTGACTCTGGCTTGATAACAGGTTTTCCTGTTGGTGTGAGCACTGACTCCCTCCAGGCAATTTTCCTACATGCATGCTACAAAGTTTCTGTAGCAATGTTCCTGGTCAACAGAAATTACATTTACAAGACAGTGGATTTGTAAGTTGTTCTTAGTACTACTATCAGAAGAATTCACTAATATCCTCCTCTTAGGCTCTACAGTCAATTTAGCCAGTGAGGAAGGGCACAAGAAGATAGGAGGAAGGAGAGACAGGACACTTGACCCAAACTAGCCAAAGGGGTATTCCATACCACAGTACATCATGCCCAGTATATCAACTGGGGGGAGTCACCCGGAAGGCCCAGATCACTGCTCAGGTCGGGCTGAGTATCCATTGGTGGGTAGTGAGCAACTGCATTGTGAATCACTTGGGTTTACTGGTTTCTTTTCCCCCTTTTAGTTTTATATTCTCTCCCCTTGTTATTTCCCTTATCATTATTATTATTAGTGGTAATAGTAGTACTACGTTTTGTATTATAATTTAGTTACTGGACTGTTCTTATCTCAATCTGTGGGGTTTACATTCTTTTGATTCTCCTCCCCATCCTGCTTGGAGGTGTGGTTCTGTGGTTCTGAGTTAGCAGCTGGGATTAAACCATGACAGAGACTTATTAAAAAAAAAAACAACAGAAAAAAAAGAACACACCACCACCACAAAAACAACCAAAACAACCCCCACCAAACAAAATCAACACATTTCCCCCCTGCCCCCAGAAAAAAAAATAAAAAAAAATCACAATGAAGGAAAAGGAACACACCTGCAGTGTCAAAAGGCAGGATTTCTCCCAACATCCCAAACACTCCATCAGTTTGGTCACGATTTGGCCATGTGTTATTTCTAGGTCCTTGTGGTTTCTGTCCTAACATCTCTGACATCATATTGTCCATATAGCTGCTCACAAGACCCAAGCTGTACAAATCAGAGCTTAAATCTGAAAAACCAGGATTGTTCCACTGGTGTATATGAGGCAGTCCAGCTCCAACAGCTTGGGCTGGCTGCTGCAAGGAATTAGTTAGCCATTTGGCAGGTACATGTTGCTGTGGTCCAATAGGTTGAAGCAAGTGTTGGTAATACTGCATTTGCTGCTGCTGCTTTTGTGATTGTTGTTGCTGTGACAAGCCTTGCTGGGAAGGATGCAGTGGTGCGTGAGAAACAGACTGCGGTTGCTGTTGTACTGTTCCTGATTTTTGTTCTGTTGCTGTAGAGGATGCAGAGTTCCTTCTTTTCACCATTGGAGAAGTCTGCTGGGATTTGCCCATGTTAAAACCAGACAAGAAATCTATAACATCCTGCATTTCTTGGTCAGTTGGTAAATTCATAACTTTGTCATCCTTGCTGTTATCCAGTTTGAAGAAGTTGTCCTGTCTTTGAACTAGACACCCATTCACTAGCTGGTTATTTGTGTTCTGAACTGACTGCAGTGGATCTGCAGTCCTAGGGAAATTACCAATATTCAAGATGCTTTGTAACCGTGCGTCTATGTTAGTGAGCATTTTAGCTTTCTCCTCCATGTTGAAACTTATGAAGACATTTTTGGAAGGTGTACTGGGGATTGAGTAACTTCCAGTATTACTTGTACTGGTGCAGGAAGTTTTTTTTGTAAACCGTGAAGTCAGTTTTGAGAACGTCTTTTGCAGACCACCTGAAGATTTGCTTCCATTTCCAGAAGGCGTGTCAACTTGATTCCCAAAGCCTAAGATTTCACGCTGTAACTGGATCTGAATACAAGGCAAAGCTTGCTCCCTGCATCAACAAAAATACGTATATCAAACCACCTAATACATATCTGAGCTTGTACTTCAGAGGAAAATGTGGATTTGGGTAGTAGCTACTGGAAGAAACAAAACCAAAAATTGCTGAGTTTATCAATTACTTCTTATGGTAACAATGCAAATTATTACTAGCATTTGCAATAGCATTAACTACAATAATTAAGACATTTTAATTGTGCTTTAAGATTTAAATGGTAACTAATTAAATAAAAATCAAGTATTTTTGTAAGAGAGAAACAAATATTTTTGTACATTTTGATAAGATGCTGGTTTGGTTTCAAGAAGACTGCTGTATCTCTGTACATACCCACAAGGTACCTATGTAGAATACCAATTTCCTGCCCTGTTTTCCCCTCCTGATGAATCGGTACTATGAAATTCTTCAGTATAAATCTTTCAACAATGATGACTTTGTTTAAACTAGGACACCAGAACATGAGAGCATAAGGTTCAGAAGGAGATGTACCTTCCTTCCTTCCACCTGTGTATGTCGAACACAGCAGTGTAGAGCACATCTACTAGCCCCAAAGTCTTCTCTGGATCCAGACTCCTCTGTAGCAGAGACATTGTTGCTGGATCTTCTTTCAGACACCTGTAATCATTAAGTTTAACTTAAAAATAAAAATTTTCTTGCTGTGTTTTGGTTTGTGTGTTTGGTTGTTTTGTTCGGTTGGTTGGTTGGTTGGTTTGGTTTGGTTTTTTACATTAGACAATTTTACCATACTATTCAGTTAATAAAAGGCTGCAGTACTACTGCTCCTAAAGAGGTGCAACTAGTAAAGGCAGCATAATGTATGGATGACGGAGGGTTCCTAAAGACTATGTCTTCAGCCTCAGTTTCTTTCTATTGTTAAATTCTATAACTCTTACAGTTAGATTAGCTGTATATTCATTTTAAAAATCACGATTAATGATTAGCTCTTTAGCTGAGTAGGCATAATTTGGGCAGAGAGGGGTGAAGAGCCACTCTCACTGTGTGTCAGCAGGCAGAGCTCTTCCAGAGTGCATAACACCTGGCTCAAGCACTCCACATGATTTTAGTTCTTTCATAATACAGCAATTTACAAGAAGAGAACAAAGAAGTGCCAGTTTATACTCTATAGAAGAATTAAAGATGTATTTGTGTAAAGAGACTATCAGTTGACTCGCACTTCTGGGCATACCACTGGTACCACTTGTAACAGGCTCTCACCAAGGATTCAAATAAATGCACTGTGTTGTAATGAAATTCCTAACACTGGGTACTCTGAAGTAAGAGAAAGGAAGTGTTCTAATTCCAAATAATTGTTTCAGAAGGGAACAAAGCCGCACCTAAACTGCAGATTAATTCTACCGTTCTTCCCTAGGCAGTCAACTAAACTGACAGGGACAGAGTCTCTCGGACCATAGAGTTCTGAGGTTCATGACAATGCTTAAGGAACAGCTCAGTGAAGAGAGCTAAAGCTCTCATTAAACTCATCTAATTCCTGGCCTTCCTGAGGCAAGAACTGTGAGGACCTGCTGGGAAGAAGCATAACAGGAACATTATTGGATTATTATTTTTTATTTTTTAAACCTTCTCTTTCATCATCAAGCTTTTTCTTTATAAGTACGTCTTAAGTGCCCCATCACTGCCCCTCTTGTGCTGCCTCCAGAGGCAGCACAAGTACAGAGACAGCTGCTAAAGCACAACTGTCAGTCTGTCAGGAACTGTACTCAATTCCAGATAAAATAACTTAAGATATGCCCTAATTGTCTAGTATTCTCTCTTCCACTTGTACTGCAATATTTTCCCCTATATATTTCAGTCATCATTAATAGTATAATCTGCAATACAGTATTTTTATTTACCAAGTTGATGGAACTTGCACCACAATTCTGGATCCTTCTAAACTTATCTGAGGAGCATAAGTTTCTTTATTTTCAATCTGTGCTGTGTCCACAACCACCTAACAAAGAAAATGAAAATAAAACAAATGATTTTAAGAATCAGTTCAAGTTATATTATCACCACTGTTGTCAAGATGCAATAGCCTCACCTACCTGCCACGCCACAGGTATAAAACATAACCAGATAAAACCAAATCAACTCACAAAGTCATTGTAAGCTTATTCATATTTTAAAAAGTAAATTAAAAAAAATTAGCTTGATACAGTAACTTATATTTCAAAGACTTAATTATTCTCAATTACATACTATAGTTATGCATCACAACATAGTTACCAACTGCTTTACCTAAATATCTGGTAGTCATCAGTGGCTTCATGTGACAGCCCCTACATTTGAGAGGTTGGGCACTATTACTACATTAATAGCTCCCAAACACCTATTTATCAAAATATTTTAAATAATTTAACTGCAGTGCATGGTATGATATAGACAAATAGTATAGACTCTGAAACTCTTCACATTGCTCACAATTCTTAACAGCCCCCCTTTCCTTTTAAGGTTATAAAATCCCACACCAACAATTTATCTATTCTATCTAACAGAACAATATTATTTCCCTATTATATAAAAGTGACTGTTCAATTTGTGGAATTCTGAGCCTTCTGTAAGACAACATGAAGATACATGGAAGATAAAAGTCTTGAAAAATCAGTCTTTCTTTTTATGGAATGGCGGAGGAATGGGTTCACTTCAGCTTCATTTAAACTTTAATACCAGTTCCATATTTGTTTCATGCTTTCTGTTGTTGCCCAGTCTGCACAGGTCAGCCTTTCTGATCGCTTCCATAATCTCCTATTTTGGTCATGCTGAACCAGGAGCTTTTTGGCAGCTGTCAGCAGTTCTTGCTTCAGTGACTAGCAGATTAGCTGTACCATTTATTCTTGAAATGGCTAAAGTTCTCTGGTATAAATAAGTCTCAAGGGATATTACTGGGTCTTTTCTGATCATCCTACACGGGTTCTACTTCTAACTGGTTGTCTACTGCTGGTTATGAAGATATATGAAATATTAATAATGCCGAGAGTCTTTTCTCTCTCTTGCTTTAACAAAACCATCCAATGACACTCAAACATAATTACTTCCTACCTTTTAGGTATTTTACCATAAAGCCTTAGTTTTCCTCCAGTTGACTCTAAGCATTTATGTAAGTTTATTCAAACTTGTAAAATATGTCTAAACATGCCAACAAAGCATCATGCTATTATCCACTCATGAAAATACTTAATAACGGGGTGTCATGGTTTAAGCCCAGCTGGTAACTCAGAACCATGTAGCTGCTCGCTCACTCCACCCCTTCTTCCCCCCTGCTCCCAGAGGGATGGGGAGGAGAATCGAAAGAATGTAAATCCCATGGGTTCAGATAAGAACAGTCCAGTAACTAAGGTATAATACAAAACCACTAGTACCACCACCAATAATAATAAACATGACAAGGGAAATAACAAGGGGAGAGAATATAAAACTAAAAGGGGAAAGGAAAAGAAAACAATAAACACAAGTGATGCACAATGTAACTGCTCACCACCCACCGACCAATAACCAGCCTGACCTGAGCAGCGATCTGGGCCTTCCAGGTGACTCCCCCAGTTTATAAACTGGGCATGATTTGCTGTGGTATGGAATACCCCTTTGGCTAGTTTGGGCCAGGTGTCCTTTCTCTGCTTCCTTCTGTCTTCTCCTGCCCCTCCTCACTGGCAGAGCATGAGACTGAAAAGTCCTTGATCGGAGTAAGCATTACTTAGCAACAACTAAAAACATCGGTGTGTTACCAGTGGTGTTCTCAGACTAAAGTCAAAAACACAGCACTGCATCAGCTACTAAGAAAGAGAAAAATAACTATTACAGCTGAACCCAGAACACAGGGCAACTCCATTACTCTTTTTCCTTGTATTTGTACCATTTTAATTTTAGGTAATTTGGTAATCTGCAATTCAGATGTATTGCAATTATAATTGGGGTAAGGAGATATTATCTTAGGAATGATTGTTCTTAGCTCCCAAGAAAAAAAAAAATCCTGTCTGCATCTCAGACATGCAAATCAGAACTAAAATTCTGATTTGTGCAGATGTACAGCAGCTTCTGGTGCATGGCAGTGCTCATGGTCTGGGCTTTGCTGGGGTTGTCATCATCTGTCCCATCCCATCTCTATCTTCCCCCCCCCCCCCTTCCTTTCTCTGTCTTAAAAACATTTTCAACATCTCTCAACATTTGGTCAGTTATGACATCTGGATATAAACATTACTACAAGATTCAGGGCTTTGCAATGCATGTTTTTTACACAGAAAGATCTACTAGCACAAAAAAGCATGGCTAGAGACTCAATTAAACCTTCTCTTCATGACGCCAATTCAAAGTTTTAGTTGTACTCATCCTCTGAATTCAACTATTTTAATATACATTGCTTATTCAAACATGGAGATTTCTTCAGCTGACCCAAATATGAAAACACAGTTCTTAATATATATATATATATATGTATGCTCTAAAGTAAAAACTGAAAACCTGCGCTTCAAAAAATATTTCTTATGTTAAAAAAAAAAACAGGGGCCTAAAATAACCAAGCAAACTAAGTCATCTCATTGTGATTTCCACTCTTAATGAGTTTGTTCTTAAAAGGCGCACAAGATAGGCTAAAGATAGCAAGACTGTCAAGTCATGTTCTTTTTTAAATTGGGCATTTGAATGACAAATTTACACACAATTCTGAACTAATACAGCTTAGTTTCTAAAAGCTGTAAAGCAAATGCTACATAACACTGTCCCATGATTCATTTATCTGAGTTATACACAAAATAAAATACACACATTCTCTCTCCCTGCCTGGTGGGTGCTTAGAGGATAGGTTCCTGTGCATCAGACATCTATCATTCTTGTTTTATAAGTGCTTCCTCTCTAATTTCCACCCAAAAAATACTTTAAAGAAGCAAATTACAATTTCTCATCGTTGCATGAGGCTACGTAGAAGCATAATTGAATCTCGTAAAAAATTATGGCACATAGTTAATAAAGAAAAAACTCAACCGTCACACCCTTCCAGAATGCAACAAATGAAAGTGAGAATGAACGAAGGGAAGAAGGCTGGCAAGTATTTTGTCATGTGGATAGTTCATCACTGTGTCTTTGAAGATGGAATCCTGCTACTTTCAGAACCTGAGGTTCATGCAAAAAGCTTTGGAGACATTCATGATTCAACACAAGTAATATTACATATATCAGACTGCCATGATTTTTCAAATATGACAGACAGTGGCTTAGCAACTTCATTCGCCAGGTCCTTCAGGACGCGCGGATGGATTTCGTCAGGTCCCATGGTCCTTAAGATGATCTCAGACCTGATCCTCTCCTACAGTGGGCCCAAGGTCTTCATTCTCACAGTCCCTGCATCTCCCTTACAAGACTTGGGCAGCATGGTCAGAGCACTTGCTGGTGAAGATTAAGGCAAGAAGTAATTGAGAACCTCAGCCTTTTCCAAATCCAGGGAAGCCAGTTCTTTGATTTCCTTCCAGACAGAGCTAACATTATCCCCAGTCTGTCTTTTGTTAGAAACATATCTGTATGTCCTGGGTTCAGCAGTAGCAGGCTTTTTTCCTCCTTCCTAGTAGCTGGTGCAGTGCTGTGTTTTCGACTTCAGTCTAGAAACAACACTGATAACACACCAATGTTTTTAGTTATTACTAAGCAATGCTTACCCCAATGATGGACTTCTCAGTCTCACATGCTGTGCTACTGAGGAGGGGCACGGGAAGCTGGGAGGAAGCAGAGACAGGACACCTGACCTAAACTAGCCAAAGGGGTATTCCATACCACAGCAAATCATGCTCAGTATATAAACTGGAGGCAGTTACCCAGAAGGCACAGATCACTGCTCAGATCTGGCTGGGTATCTGCTGGATGGTGGTGAACAACCGGATTCTCTCCCCTTGTTATTTCCCTCATCATCATTATTATTATTGGTGGTAGCAGTAGTGATTTTGTATTATACCTTAGTTACTGGACTGTTCTTATCTGAACCTGTGAGATTTACAGTCTTTTGATTCTTCTCCCCATCCCTCAGGTAGCAGAGCGAAAGAAGGAGGGAATGAGCAAGCAGCTGCATGGTTTTGAGTTACTGGCTGGACTTAAACCATGACACTATAGAAGCCTTTCCTCTTATCTCTGACACCCCTGGCCAGACTCAGTTCTATCTGGGCCTTAGCTTTTCTTAGCTGATCCCTAGCTTCCCTGTTTTCTTCCCAGGCCACCTGTTGTCATTTCCACCGTCCACAAGCTTCTTTTTTTCCCCTCGAAATTTCCTCAGCAGCTCCTTATCCATCCAAGGAGGTCTCCTGGGCTTCTTGCCCCATTTCCTTCTTGTTGGGACACAACACTTCTATGCTTGAAGCAGGTGATCACTGAATATGAACCAATATTCTAGCCCCCCCCGCCCTCTAGAGCTTTATCTCATAGAACCTTACTAAGCAGGCTCCTGAAGAGGACAAAGTCTGCTCCCTTCAAGTCCAGGACAGTGAGATTGATCCCTGCTCTTCTCAGTGCCCTGAGGATCCCAAACTCCACCGTCCCGTGATCACTGCAACCAGTGATGCCTCTGAGCATCACATTCCCCACCAGCCTCTCCCTTTTGGTGAGCACAAGGTTGAGCATGGCACTTCTCCTTGTCAGCTCCTCTATTACTTGCAAGAGAAAGTTGTCTTCCATGCAATCAAGTAACTTCCTGGGTTGCTTGTGCCAGGCAGTACCATTCCTCCAACCGATATCAGGGTGGTTGAAGTCCCCCATGAGGACAAGGGCCTGCGAATGGGAGGCTGCTCCTATCTGCCTATAGAGAGCTTCATCCACAGAGTCCTCTTGATCAGGTGGCCTGTAGCAGATCCCCACAGTCACGTCCCCCATTGCAGTTTTGCCTTTGACCCTGACCCACAAGCTCTCTCTTTACTCATCACCTGTCCCCATACTGAGTTCCATACTCTCCAGGCTATCATTGCCATAAATACCTACTCCCCTTGCCATCTGCCTGGTCTGTCTTTCCTCAAGAGCCTATAACTTTTCCAATCCAACACTCAGTCATAGGAGCCATCCCACCATGTTTCTGTGATTCCAACAACGTCATAACCCCGTAGATGCGCAAACATCTCTAATTCCTCTTGTTTATTCTCCACACGATGGGCATTTGTACAGAGGCATCTGAGCAGAGCTCCAAATAAAGCTGTCTCATTGACGAGAGTGGCTGACATAGCTCTGCATCTCTCTGAGCATTCATTACAGGTGCTGGCATCTAACTGGTAGTTTTGGAATGGATCAGTGCCCCTCTCCCCCAACAAATCTAGTTCATAGTCACTTACCAGTCCAGCTTGGCCAAACAACAATTGTACAGCAGTTTTGCAGGCTCCTCGCCAAGTGGAAGGGCAAACCTGATTTAGTACTTCAGTAACAGGAGAATCATCCCATGGTGTAAGTCCATTATGGCATCCGGCTTCCTTAATCAACTGCAGCATCGTGTGCTGAAAATATAAACACTTTGTCATATTAAACACACAATTCAGAAATTTTAACACCAGTGCTTCCACACGTATTTAGCATTGTTCTACATGCTTTTCTGACAACTGCAGCATCTGTTACCTCTGAACAGTCTTGTATAACTAGAATAGCTCAACTGCAGAACAGAAATATAGAAGAACATCTCTGCTATTTGGAACACAATACTCCTCCAAAGTCATAAAACAGTATTTTTGCTTAACTTGCAGAACAGTTTAATCAAAACTACAAAAAGCACTGCAAAGACAGCAGAACAGAAGCATTTTGAGCTGTGGATTGTTTCAACTCTTCCAGGAACAAGGAATTGGGCTTGTAAATTAAATAAATAAATAAATAAATAAAATGAAGATGATGATTCAAATTGCCCAAATCACTTCTGAATGCATGGACATATTTTCCATTCCTTCATACTGAAAATACAGTTTTCTCCGCAATTTTTAACAATTGATTAAAATTTGCAAAAAGACATCAACAAGAGCTTTGTTACAATTTTTTTTTTTTTTAAACATACCTCCCACCTCCCAGCACTAGGCTGGGCCAGACTTATTTTGGCACCATCTGACGACCATTAGCAAGGGCTCACCTTCCCCTCCACTTCTAGATTTCTATGCATCTGTCATATAGAACTGAACTTGCCCAGGTGGTTAAAACATTATCAGAAGCAGGTGTGAACCTACAATGTTATCAAGATCTTGCTTCCACAGGAAGTCAGGCTAAAACTATGCACTTTTAAATACAAGTTTGGCACTGAAATTCTACTGCAGTTGTTCTCTGGATTTTAAGGAATTCAAGTTTGGGTTTTTGTTTGTGTCGTTTTTTTTACAGTTCACTCCTGTGGTTAGATACAGGTTATTACCATTTTCAGCTTTAGGTTTTCTGCTGCAGACTCATTAAAGGATATTCCTTTCAGAAAATGTGATCCTATTTGAACAGGAACAGTGGGCAGTTCAGACTGAATGGGCTGAGGAGTCGTCTGTCTCCTTCCTGTTTGCTGGGCTTCAGCTTCACTGCAACAACCCTGGGACATAACACAGATCCATTATAAGAAATGAAGAAATTATAATATCCTAATATGAGTCCAATTTATTTGTTTTAACAAGTTATTTTCAAGGTGAGGATGGATGAAAGAGAGAAAAAGTATAGCAGATCCTACCTGAAGGCTTGCTTCAATAGCTTTTGGGTTCAAGTGGAAGCCAGCCTTCAGCGCATATTCACAATGGCCTAAACTCTCCAAAGCCACTTTGTAAGCCTGATATTAAACAAAAAACTTGAGATAGCAGAGGCATATCAGCAAGTAAGCAAGCAGTCACCATGTTTGGATACATATATAAGAATTGCTACATGGATTTACCCTACTCAGTTCTACAGCATACACATTTGTCATATAAGATTCCAATACTATAATTCTCAAATACCTCATGGCTGCCTGTGGTACATATTTCTACAGTAATATACTCCTTCCCTATTTCATTCCTTTGCCCACTGACTGTACTACATTGTCATGGTTTAAATTCAGCCGGTAACTCAAAACCATGCAGCCGCTCACTCACTCCTCCTCTTCTTCCACCCTGCTCCTGGAGGGATGGGGAGGATAATCGGAAGAATGTAAATCCCACAGGAAAAGATAAGAACAGACCAATAACTTAGGTACCATACAAAACTACTACTACTATTACCACCATAATAATAATGATAAGGGAAACAATATGAGGAGAGAATATGAAACTAAAAGGGGACAAGGAAAAGACAACAAAAAACACAAGTGATGCACAATGCAATTATTCACCACCAACTGACCGATACCCAGCCCCACCTGAGCAGTGATCTGGGCCTTCGGGGAAACTCCCCCCAGTTTATATAGTGGGCATGATGTACTGTGGTACAGTATACCCCTTTGGATAGTTTGGGTCAGGCGTCCTGTCTTTATTTCCTCCTGGCTTCCTATGCCCATCCTCATTGGCAGAGCATGAGACTGAAAAGTCCTTGATGGGGTAAGCATTACTTAGCAACAACTAAAAATATCGGTGTGTTACCAGTAGTGTTCTCAGACTGAAGTCAAAAACACAGCACTGCACCAGTTACTAAGGAGAAAAACTTACAGCTGAACCAAGGACAGTATCCACCCCTTATTACACACCATTCACGTCATGCTCATGTTTTTTGTCTCACATATATATATATACACATATATATACACACACACACACACAGAAACATCATTCCCTAGTGCATGGACCAATCCCTGTAAAGCTGCTGAACACATCCAGTCCATTAAGTCATGCTCCATCTCTTGTAACAGTCTTTCAGGGCAGGAGAGACAGTGTGTAGTGCTGCATTGTTGCCTGCTGACGACACCGCCAAACACGTCTAGTAACTGCTGAGCTCATCTGGCTTCAAAAAAGTTAATTCTTTCTTGAGTTGATGACCGGAGGGAAGTCCAGGTCAGTCGACAGTGACCTCAAGACAGTTCTGCTGCTGGCTGTTCCTGTGACTTGCAGAGGGGTTGGAACTAGATGATCTTAAGGTCCTTTCCAACCCTAAATGATCTAAAATTCTATGCTTCTCTGCTGATTATCATGACAGCATATATATTCTTTTCAAAACCAGGAGAGGTGGAGATGGCCATCTAGCTGATGGGTTTTGAAGCGTTATATAGCAGGCAATAGCATACAATTGAGTTCATTGGCTGTTTCCCCCAAAATTAAATCCCCTTGAGATACACACCTGACCTAACTATCTTCCCACATTACCCACAAAGCAAATCCAGGTCTGTGAGTGAAAGCAATCCCACAAATGGGTTTGCCTTTACCTGAAGAAGGAATAACCCAGACTGTCTTCCCAGCAAATTTTTTTATGTGCACCACAGGAAATTTATCTGCCTCTACAGTACATAAAAGTTATGAATAGATGGGGCCAGCCCTGTTGGCAGACCCCCAGTACTGATGTCCTGGGTTCAGCAGTAGCAGTCATTTTTCTCCTTCTTGGTAGCTGGTGCAGTGCTGTGTTTTGACTTTCGGCCTGTGAACAGAGCTGATAGCGATGTTTTGGTTTGGCCAAGGACTTCGTGAGCCTCATGCTCTGACAGGGAGGAGGGGAAGCCAGGAGGAAGCAGAGACAGGACACCTGACCCAAACTGACCAAAGAGGTACTCCATACCACAGCATGTCATGCCCAGGAGGTAACTGGGAGTTACCCGGAAGGACATGGGCTTCCGGGTGGGGACTCGTTTTCTTGGCCGGTGGTATCGTATTCTCTTCCCTTGTTATTTTCCCTTATCATTGTTGTAGTTGATAGTAGCGGTGGTGATTTGTGTTGTACATTGGTTGCTGGACTGTTCTTGTCTCAACCTGTAGGAGTTGCACTCTTTCGATCCTCCTCCCCGTTCCTCCGGGAGTGGGGAAGGGGAGAGCCCCGGTGGGGGGGGGGGGGGGACGGACCTCGATTGTTGTCAGCTCGGCACCACTCACTGGGAGTGAGTGAACAAGTTACCTGACTGGGTTTAAACCACGACAACTGACTAATCAGGTGGCTTTTGGGAAACGTGTATCCCAATGTTTGAAAGTTTCACCACCCATTGCTCTCAGTGTAGCTTTTTACAGCCCAGTGTACCACTTGATTTTCCCAGAGGCTGGTGAATGGTAGGGGATGTGATATACCCACTCAGTGCCATGCTCTTTGGCACAAGTGTCTATAAGGTTGTTACAGAAATGAGTCCCATTGTCTGACTCAGTTATTTCTGGGGTGCCGTGTGGCCACAAGACTTGTTTCTCAAGGCCGAGGATAGTGTTCTGGGCAGCAGCGAGGCACAGTGTATGTTTCCAGCCACCAGGGGGTTGCTTCCACCATGGTAAGCACATGGCACTTGCCTTGGAAGGTTGGTGGGACTGTGATGTAGTCAGCCTGCCAGGCTTCCCTGTATTTGTACTTCAGCCATTGTCCTCCATACCAGAGAGACTAACTGCTTGGCTTTCTTAACTGCAGCACATGTTTCACATTCGTGCATAACCTGGGCAATAGTGTCCATTGTTAAGTCCACCCCTCGATCTCGAGCCCATTTATATGTTGCATCTCTGCCCTGATGGCATCAGGTGTAATGGGCTAAAAATAATACACCCTTCTGTTGCCATAAAAATCCATCTGAGGCACTTCAATATTAGCAGCTTTATCTACCTGTTGGTTGTTCTAGTGTCCCGCAGAGGCCCAACTCCTTGGTACACAACCATCCAAGTGGCGTACCTTCACCACCAGGTTCTGCACCCAGGCAGTGATATCTTGCCCCAGGGCAGCAGCCCACATGGGTTTCCCTCTGCCTTTCCAGTTGCTCTGCTTCCACTGCTGCAATCACCCTCACAGGGCATTTGCCACCATCCATGAGTCAGTATAGAGATAAAGTACTAGCCACTTTTCTCGTTCAGCAATGTCCAGGGCCAGCTGGATGGCTTTCACCTCTGCAAACTGACTTGATTCACCCTCTCCTTCACCAGTGTTTCTGCAACTTGTCGTCAAGGACTCCATACAGCTGCCTCCCATCTCTGATGCTTTTCCACAATACAGCAGGACCCATCAGTAAACAAGGCATATTGCTTTTCTCTTTCTGACAGTTTATTGTATGGTGGGCCCTCTTCAGCACGCATCACCTCCTCCTCTGGTGACATTCCAAAATCTTTGCCCTCTGGGCAGTCCATGATGACTACAAAAATTCCTTGATGACTGGAATGTCCTACTCAAGCTTGTTGTGTAATTAGTGCAGCCCACTTACTCCATGTAGCATTGGTTGCATGATGTGTAGAGGAGACTCTGCCTGTGAACATCCAGCCCAGCACGGACAACCTGGGTGCCAAGAGGAGCTGTGCTTCAGTGCCAATCATCACTTCTGAAGCAGCTCAAACCCCTTCAGAGGCTGCCAGTATCTGTTTTTCACTTGGGGTATAGCTGGCCTCAGATCCTCTGTATCCCCGACTCCAAAAGGTGAGGATTTGACCTTGAATTTCCCTTGGAGCTCTCTGACAGAGGCTCCTGGTAGGACCATTCTCCCCAGCTACAGTATAAAGCACATGGTTCACATCTTGCCCTGTCCTGACTGGCCCGAGTGATACTGCATTGAACTATCTCTCTTTTAATTTATTCAAAGCCTTGCTGGTTTTCAGGGCCCCATTTAAAATCATTCTTTTTCAGAATCACGTGATAGAGAGGGCTTACAATCTTACTGTAACTGAGGATGTGCAATCCCCAGAACCCCACAACGCCTAAGAAAGCTTGTATTTCTTTCTTATTACTTGGTGGAAACACTGCCGTTATATTGTTGATCACATCTGGCGATGTCCATCTTGCCATTTTATTCCCAAAAACTGAATCTCCTGTGCAGGATCCTTGACCTTACTCCGTTTTTATTGCTTTCAGCGGGATTTTGATTATTTTCCTCCCTTTCTCAAAAAGTTCTCCGACTGTATTGCCCCACACAATAATGTCATCAATACACTGCAGGTGTTCTGGAGCTTGCCCCTGTTCCAGTGCAGTCTGGATCACTCCATGGCAGATGGTAGGGCTGTGCTTCCACCCCTGGGGCAGTCGGTTCTTAAGTGTACTGGACACCCCTCCAAATAAAAGCAAACTATGGCCTGCACTCTGCTGCCAAAGGAATTGAGAAGAATGTATTGGCAATATCAATTGTGGCCTACCACTTGGCTGCCTTTGCCTCCTGTTCATATTGAAGTCCTAGCATGTCTGGTACCTCAGCACTCAAGGGTGGTATGCCTTCAGTCAGGCCATGAAAGTCTACTGTTAGTCTCCGCTGTCTGTTAGACTTTCGCACTGGCCATATGGGCCTATTAAAGGGTGAGCAGGTCCTGCTGATCACTCCTTGGCTCTCCAGTCTACAGATCAGCTTATGGATGGGAATCAGGGAGTCTCGGTTGGTGCAATATTGCTGCCGGTGCACTGTTGTGGTCGCGATTGGCACTCGTTCTTCGACCTTCAGCAACCCCAGAACAGAAGGATCCTCTGAGAGACCAGGCAAGGTGGACAGCTTTTTCATTTCCTCCATCTCCAATGAAGCAACACCAAAAGCCCATCGGTACCCTTTTGGGTCTTTGAAGTACCCTCTCCTGAGGTAGTCTATGCCAAGGATGACTGGAGTCTCTGGACCAGTCACAATGGGGTGCTTTTGCCATTCCTTCCCATTTAGGCCCATTTCAGCCTCCAGTACAGTCAACTCTTGGGATCCTCCTGTCACTCCAGAAATAGAAATGTGCTCCACCCCTTCATAGCTTGATGGCATCAAGGTACATTGTGTACCGCTATGTCCTAACACCTTATTAGTTCTGTGGGACTGATGTGCCCGGCCATCTGATACACACTGTCCAGTAAACCTGATTGTCCCTCTCCTCCATGTGGCTGGAGGCAGGGCCCCTCTACTAGTGATCATAAGATTCTCCACTTATATCTTGTACAAGGGGATTAGTATTCCTTATCACAGGTGTTTGAGTAGAAGCAGCTCTTCCAGTCCATCTAGGAAGCTGTTCACCCAAGACTGGAGCAGCAACTTTCATGGGAGGATCATCCTTGACAGTTGTTACCCAATTCACACACCCGTTGCTCCAGAACTGAGGTAGATTTTCCATCCCACTTTTTCACGTCTTCTCTGTGATCCCACAGGTAAAACCATAGGGTGCCCCATGGTGCGTACCTCCTATATCTTCTCTCTCAAGCAGTAGGGTGCCTTCTGTTAATAGCTGAGATGTGGGTTGGTACACGTGGAGAGCTGGATAGATCGTCTCTCAATTGTTTGAACACCTGGGTCAGGAGTTTTTCCACTGCTGAAATGATGGAATGGGTGAGATTGTCTTTGAACTCTTGGAGTTGATGAGTCACTTCATCCACTGTTGGTGCTATGTCATGCCAGGTCATTGATGCCAATGAGTGGGCGTATGATGATGGTGCACTCTGTGTAAGTTACCGTCACATGGGTTGCGTACATTCGACTTCATCTGGATTGATCGGTGCATTCCTGGCATCCAGCCTATGACAGATCTCTAGAATGGCTGATTCCCTCAGGTACTGGAAGCCTCTCTATCGTGGTCCACTTGGCTGAGTGATACATAACATTGTCCTTGCTAGTATACCTTTCCTTCACAGCTGCCAAGAGCCGCCTCCAAAGGCTGAGGGCTCATTTCTCTTTTGCAATTGCTTTGTCAATTCCCCCTTCCCTAGCAACTCATCCCAGCTGCTTGGCTTCCCTACCTTCTAGTTCGTGACTCTCAGCTCCATTGTCCCAGCATTGGAGCAACCAGGTGACGATATGCTCACCCGGAAGATGGCTGAAAACTTTTCATATATTCCGCAGCTCGGTTGAGGTATGGGATCGAGAAGTTATCTCTTTCTCTGATTCCTAAATCAATAACTCTCATTCAGATGCTGTCCCCTCTAGTACACGCTTTGGGTCTTCATCTTTCTTCACTGCACGGGTTGCTCTTTGTGCCTCTCGTTTGCTTTTCCCCTTGCTTATAGGGGCAACTGATATTGGCATGGATTGGTCCTTTTGTTTAGCTATAGTGCCTATCACTGAGCCAGACCCTGCTTAGCTTTCGAGATCAAACAAAATCAAGCATTCTCAAGGTGGGATTACTGTGGGTAAAACACATGCTGTATTTGTGGCAATATGCTGATTCCCAGGAAAAGCAGCAGGCTGGTTTCAAGGGTATCCAAAGGCCATCAAAAAACTTTAGAATTCTCAAATGCTGCTGTAAATTGTCTAATGGGGGAGCAGAGGGTGTGAGGGAACAGCCCCTTCATAGGTTTACCACCCAAAGATGAAAAAAACGATGTGTAGTTCCTAAAAATTCCCATTACATGCCTCCCATAGTATAGAGATGATGGCCACACTGAGAGTGCAAGCCAGACCAGTTTCATGATCAATGACTATTGTACCACAAGTCATTACTGTAAAGTACAGCGAAACAAGAAACTTAGCCCAGGCCTCAAAGCTGATAAACACTAAAACAGCAAATACTGGCTGCAAGTAAGGTATGACACGCTGAAACTCCAAGACCAAGTGCAACAACTCTGAGAGCAAATAAATCAACATTGTGACAAGCGACTATTAATCTGAAACAATGCATGCTTATCACAAATACAATTAGACACTTACACAATTTGTACAATTAGACAAATACAATTAGACACAAATACAAATTGACACTCTGGTCAGATCTGCCGTTATCTCAACCCTATGTGCCTCACGCTGGGTGCCACAAAGAACTGTCGTGGTTTAAGCTCATCCAGTAACTCAGAACCACACAGCCTCTTGATCGCTCCCCCCTTCCTCCCTCCCCCCGTGCTCCCAGAGGGATGGGAAGAAGAATTGAAATAACGTAAATCCCACAGGTTAAGAACAGTCCAGTAACTAGGATAAGGGAAATAACAAGGGGAGAGAATACAATTACTCACCACCCAGTGACTGATACTCAGCCTGACCCGAGCAGTGATCTGGGACTTCCAGGTAATCCCCCCCAGTTTATATACCAAGCATGATGTGCTGTGGTATGGAACGCCCCTTTGGTTAGTTTGGGTCACGTGTCCTTTCTGCTTCCTTCTGTCTTCTCCTGCCCCTCCTCGCTGGCAGAGCATGAGACTGAAGAGTCCATCATCGGGGTAAACATTACTTAGCAACAACTAAGAACATTGGTGTGTTATCAGCATTGTTATTAGACTAAAATAAAAAAACACAGCACTGCACCAGCTACTAGGAAGGAGAAATATAACTGTTACAGCTGAACCCAGGACATACATGCACATGAAAGTAGACTTTAAAACTTACCTGCAAAGCACTGTCAATTTTCATGTTTAGCAATTTGAGCTGATGTTCAGGGACTGCCACACTCTGTGAGCAGAAAAGTTGCTGAACTTCAATTCCTGCCAAACATCCATCACAGCCTCTTTCTCGTAATTGAGATGTTGCCTGTAATGCAAAATAAAAATCCAGGGTAAAGAGTTTTAACATTAAACCAGTTCAAGATTAATTACATTTTAAAGAGCAGCCAAAAACACCCCACGGAGTTTAAAACATTATAAAGGAGATTAAAAGCAGCACCTGGCGGGAAGGATCTGGAGGAGCTTATTTGTTATAATTTATTAAATCTCTACTGCTACTTTGCAAGTACAAATCTCACGTAATTTGTATGGCATATAGGTGTTGGCTAGCAACTTAATTCAACATTGTTTGCTGTTACTATTTCATCTCCCTCTCAGGACTAAGGATCCTGTTACACAGGCCACATGATGACTCTCATTCCCAGAGGAGGGTCTTACAACTTCAACATAAAGGATATTACTTGCCACAAAAAAAAATACATTTAATCACTTGGACAAACACTCCTTTGTATACAAGATATATTTTATAAAATTAAGGTTGATTACCATGGTGCAATTTTAGAAGACCCACACAAGACTAAGATCAACTTAGCACAGCAAGAGAATAGCTTTATGTAATATGATTTAGAAAAATAAGAAATATGAAAAGCCACATATCTAGTTTTAACTGTAAAAAATTACATGACTGAGCAGGGTAAAACAAATAAAAAACCTGCTCTCAACTGCATTTAAGGTCTTGGAAAGAGCTTATTTTTCAGTCTAGAAAGGAGTCTTGCTCTAAAGCAGGATGTTGAAATTGGGGATTTTTGGTACTACAGGCAATGGTCATTACTTACCTCATTGACATATACAAAACTACAGCATATTCCAAGTGGAAAAAAAAAAAGGGAAAATAGTTTTGAGTTACTGACAAAATATTGCCTTAAACTTTATTCTGAAATAGCAGTGTATTCTCTGTCAAGGAGGCTGGGTTTATATGGAAATAATGGATTGCCTTCCTCCACAAAGTCAAAATTTTGAAAGATTTCAGTATTTCAAATCTCCCTTCTATCAAAATGACTTGCATATTAGTCTATCTAAATTTTGAGAGATTTTATTTATCTAGAGAGCACAGATTTTTTCTTATGCTATCCTAAAATCCCACACAAATACTTCAGAGTAATTTTAGTCAATCATAAAAACTGAGAAGTTTCTTCTATTTTTATTCTGGAACTAGGAAGAACCTATATTTTTCTGGTCTCCTCCCCATGCATGTTTAATGAAGGATATGATTAGTGTAATATTTGTATTAAACTCTATTTCAAAATACAGGTTCTAATAACAGAAATAGCTTAGGTGGGCTGTTAAGGAGGTATAAAGAAAGTTAAGGTCCCAGATTCTGCAAACCCAAGTTTAATTTTAACCACATTTTAAATAAACTAGATTGCAATGCAGGGCCTTTCTAGAAATTGTAACAGTTTTAAGGAACTAAGTGTATTAAATGTAAAATTAACTATTTTTAATGCAAAAGGAGTACAGCTATACCAGGATTAGACCTGTTACAATTATCTGTAATACACGTAAAGCACTCCCAAATCCTTATTTTATCCAGTGAAATAAACTTATGCTGCAGTAAAAATTACAAACAATTCTTCTGCATTCATAGTTCTAAAGGAAACTTGCTTGCTTTCGTATACCTTTCACATCCCAGGTTGATAAATGGAAACCTTGACAAGATTTCCAGTCAAGATGATAAACAAGCTTGTGTGTGCTGCCAAATTGGACTTCAAAAGCACATGCTCCAAGTTACTTGAATTTAAGGAAACTGTGCATGCAGTGTCTGAAGTCATTTCGATCTATAAGCCTGCGGACTTCAATAGTACAAGGGAAAGCAGAAAAGCTCCTAAAACTGATTTTCTTTTTTTCAGCAGTAAAAGAAAGGATTGCACAGATGACAAGTGTTTATGAAAATAGAAGTCCAGAGAGTGGTACATGTAAGTGATACAATTCACATTCCAACAACTGATGGAGCAAGCAACAGCAAGCTTAGCAGCATAAGACGAAAGTGTTAAAAGTGAATGTAAAGATTTAAGTATAAAATATAATTTGTGCTCAAAATTAGAGAAAAAATTATCTAAATTATTTTTCAACAAGATTTTTTGCTGTTTTTGCAAAGACAACTTTCATATTTTATTCTAAATTCCACTTTTGCCAAACTACATTTGAATGCTGTTAATTCATCACTAACAAAAAGCTGTTTCCACTGTTTGTGTACTCCTTATATACAATCATATCACAAAGAAAACTTTACACAGCACAGAGATGGTATAATCAGCATATAGGTAAAACTAGTTTTAGCATCTGAAACTAACTGCACCATGATCCCCACTTGAAATGTAACATTTCTTGAAAAATCAGAGATTTCCTTCCTTTATTAGGGCATCCAGCCTGAATTTAGATTTCACTAAACATAACTGCCATTTCACTAAACATAACTACAGCAAGACCTCCGTACCTCTGCTGCTCCTCTCCATGATCTTATTGCATCTTCTAGCTCATTTGTGGGGCTTAAACTTGAGGTTCTGGCTCCACTAACATTCTTTTTCTCCTGGGCTACAGCTTCAGCAAAGCAAGAGTGTGCCACTGGCTGGACTTTCTGCACAGCTTGTGACAGGAATTGAAAGTGGACCTGCATCACCGTCAAGAAACATCGCCCAAGTACCTGCAGGAGAAGGAACAAACCCATTTCAAGCAAATAGAGGATTTCATGGAAGTTTCTCTTTTTCCTTTGTTCAGTGTTTGGGGTACTCAGATTCTTTTTCTATTAAAATAACACTTCAGATCATTAGGGACTGTAGAGATAGGACAAGGGGTAACGGGTTAAAACTTAAACAGGGGAAGTTTAGATTGGATATAAGGAAGAAATTCTTTACTGTAAGGGTGGTGAGGCACTGGAATGGGTTGCCCAGGGAGGCTGTGAGTGCTCCACCCCTGGTGGTGTTCAAGGCCAGGTTGCACAGAGCCTTGGGTGACATGGTTTAGTGTGAGGTGTCCCTGCCCATGGCAGGAGGTTGGAACTAGATGATCTTAAGGTCCTTTCCAACCCTATGATTCTAAGCAACATTTGATATTTAGCCATTTACTTAGAATAAGGCAAACAGTGAGCAAACATTATTTTCTACAAATTAAAGGGAGATCATACTGATCCCATGTATTTTTTACTTCTGCACTCAAGTTATGGTTATTTGAAGAATGCAAAGCTTGTTCAGTTACTTAGGAATACTGAGCACATGAAACAATAAAAAAATGGGAGTAGCATATTATCACAAGGACAAAGTCAATAGCAAAACCCACTTGAACACAGACCTTGCTGAATTTATGCTAAAAAGCCCAAAACAAAAATCTGAATAATTTTAAAACATTATAATTAAAATCAGAAAAGTTTAATCCAGCAGTTTATCTTCTAAGCAGAGCAATAATCAGCAATAAGCATGAAAACCATTTTGCCACATAATGCAGTAGACACACAATGACATTTTTAGAAAATAACAGTGACTGCAGAATGCATGCACAAAGTTGCAGCCCTGTCATTTGCATTGTCTGACAGGAACTGCTAACACTGTCACAAATCACCTCTTCAGAATATTGCACTGAAACAGGTCACTGAACATTCATTTGGAAAGCCCGAGGAAAGGCAGGGAAGCGAAGGGCTGCTTGTGCCTCCCTGTACTCGCTAAGCTGAAGGCAGCGCCAGCATCATGCTGGGGAAGGGGGCCCCACCTCCACCCCTTGCACGTTTCCATCCCCCTCTGTCATACTAGTGCTAATGAGAATTATGAATTAAGACAGGCATATGCCTCATTTACTACAAACAGATCACACAACTTGAGTATTTAGGCACAGCCACAACACACGGAAGAACAGACAGGAGTACAAGCATTCAGGACAAGCTGAAGAGCAATGCAGCACAAACAGGAACGCTCTGTCTACCTTCAGGGCCACACTCTCCTAAGCAGATGAAAGCTTACCACAAAGCACAGTTACAACACAGCAAAGCAGCAAGTATTTTCCAAATTACTGGAGAAAGTACTTAAAAACTATTCAGAGTGTTTTGTTGCTTTTATGGCGTTTTTCACACAAAGTGGTTTAAAATGTATATTTGACTTTGATTTATTAAAAAAAGACTTGAATTCCATTTTAGAAATAAATCATAAAATACATAGATGTACAAAGCCATTATGCCTTGAGGTAAATAAATCATCAGGCTTATTTTCAGCTACATTCTTCTGGAATAAAAACATTCAAACACAATGATCTTCCTGATAAGATTCAGTAGTCACACGAACAGTTATATGCATTAACTATCTACTTCAGAAAAAACAGTGGTAGCAGTGCTTTTTTCCATTGCATCCGAAACTCCTTTTGACATTCCATTCTGGTTCAATCACTTCCTTTCTTTGTACAAGGCATGAAATTAATTATTTTTGGTACTTTGACTGACCTCTGAAAGTGGAGTTTGATAAAATGAAAAAACCTCCAACTTTCCTGGCTACAAGATTAGAAAGATTTCTAAAAAAAATGGTGATCTGAATATTTCTGTGTATGAAGAATGCAATTCTTACGGGAAGAAGAAATTAAGACTCATGAGGAATTTCAAGCCAATTAAGTTTCAAAGAATATTTAGGGTACAGACACTGAAGTTTCCCCTGCCTGGGAATAATGCTCAAAATAAACAAATGATTTAGGGTTTTTTTAAGTAGCGGCACACAACATTCCTAGCATAATTAATAATGTTAAACAGTAAGAACTCCTATTTTGTTCAAAAAATAATCTATTTCAGTCTTCCTCAGAAATGGCTAAGGATGGCTTTAACTGCTTAAATAAAATTCAAGTGGTGGAGGATTTTTGCACTGTCAAATGCTCACGGCAGATGTCAAACTCACTTTGCTTTAAAGTTTACTAACTGAAGATTTTCTTCCAAAGAGGTGAAACTGCCTTAACTGTGAGAAAGAAGTATGACCACCACAGTTTAACAAATACAGGCAGGGTTGGCCCGCAGGTACCAAAGTGTATAAAGCAATATACTAAATCTCTGTGGCCAAGTCTGCAGAACAATATTAGCATATGGATGCATTTTATTCCATGTATAGACACACCATCATCTCTTTTTGCAAGCTTGTTTTTTCCTACTTTCCCAAGCAGAACTGTTTGGCTCTCCTACTTTAGACCATATTTCAAGGTTTAAGCCCAGCTAGTAACTCAGAAACATACAGCCACTCATTCACTCCCCCTCTTCTTCCTCCCCCCCGCTCTAGGAGAGATGAGGAGGAGAATCAAAAGAATGTAACTCCCACGGGCTGAGATAAGAACAGTGCAGTAACAAAGGTATAATACAAAACCACTACTAGTACCACCAGTAATAAGGGAAATAACAAGGGGAAAGAATACAATTACTCACCACCTGCCAACTGACACCCAGCCAGACGTGAGCAATGATCCGGGCCTTCCAGGTAACTCCCCCCAATATAGATACGGGGCATGTCCAGCATGACCAAGTATATCCAGGCCCCTGAGCAAAAGCAATCCCACAAGTGTGTTTGCCTTTACCTGAAGCAGGAATAACCCAGACTGTCTTCGCCAGCAAATTCTTTATGTGCACCACAGGAAATTTATCCCATTCTACAGTAGGTAAAAGTTATGATTGGGCTGGGCCAGCCCTGTTGGCAGATCCCTTAGTGTTGACCAACCAGGTGGCCTTTGTGTATCCCAATGCTTGAAAGTCCCACTACCCCTTGCTCTCAATGTAGTTTTTAACAGCCCATTGTACTGTTCAGTTTTTCCCAGAGGCTGGTGCATGATAGGGGAAGTGATATACCCACTTGATGGCCCAAGTGTCCAGAACATTGTTCTGGAAATGAGTCCCATTGTCTGACTCAATTATTTCTGGGGTGCCGTGTGGCCACAAGACTTGTTTCTCAAGGCCCAGGATAGTGTTCCGAACAGCGGCAAGGCACAGCGTACGTCCTCCATACCAAAGAGGCTTTAACCGCTTGGCCTTCTTAATTGCAGCACGTTTCACATTTGTGAATAACCTGGGCAATAGTGTCCATTGTTAAGTCCACCCCTCGATCACAAGCCCATTTATATGTTGCATCTCTGCCCTGACGGCCTCAGGTGTCATGGGCCCACCAGGCTAAAAATACACTCTTATGTTGCCATAGAAATCCATCTAAGCCACTTCAACCTTGGCAGCTTTATCTACCTGTTGGTTGTTCTTATGTTCCTCAGTGGCCCAACTCCTTGGTACACAAGCATCCAAGTGGCATACCTTCACCAGTAGGTTCTGTACCCAGGCAGCGATATCCTGCCACAGTGCAGCAGCCCAGATGAGTTTACCTCTATGTTGCCAGTTGCTCTGCTTCCATTGCTGCAACCACCCCCACAAGGCATTTGCCAACATCCATGAGTCAGTATAAATTAGTGGCCATTTGTCTTGTTCAGCAATGTCCAAGGCCAACTGGATGGCTTTTACCTTGGCAAACTTACTCGATTCACCTTCTCCTTCAGCAGTTTCTGCAACTTGTCGTTGGGGACTCCATGCAGCTGCCTTCCATCTCCAACGCTTTCCCACATTGTCATGGGTTTAGCAGTAGCATTTTTTCTCCTTCTTAGTAATTGGTGCAGCGTTGTGTTTTTGACTTTCGGCCTGGGAAGAGCGCTGATAACACTGATGTTTTTAGTTACTGCTCAAATGTTTAGTCTGACCAAGGACTTTGTGAGTCTGCCAGGGAGGAGGGGAAGCCGAGAGGAAGCAGAGATAGGACACCTGACCCAAACTAGCCAAAGAGGTATTCCATACCACAGTATGTCATGCCCGGGATATAACTGGGAGTTACCTGGAAGGGCACTCGCTGCTTGGTCGGGCTCTGTCAGCAGGTGGTATCATATTCTCTTCCCTTGCGATTTCCCTTATCATTATTATTCCTGGTGGTAGCAGTAGTGATTTGTGTTATACCTTAGTTACTGGACTGTTCTTATCTCAACCCGTGGGAGTTACATTCTTTCGATTCTCCTCCCCATCCCTCTGGGAGAGGGGGGAGGCAAGAAGGGGGTGGTGAGAGAGATTGCGTGGCTGACTGGGTTTATACCACGACAGACATTCACACGACTGAAAAAGTCCTTGATCAGAGTAAACATTACTTAGCAACATCTAAAAGCATTGGTGTGATATCAGCACTGTTCCCAGACTCAAGTAGAAAACACAGCACTGCACCCAGCTACTAAGAATGAGAAAATACTGCTACTGCTGAACCCAGGACACTATACTAAGAACAGCCTAAAATCTAGAGACCATGTAGTAATCAAAGACAAAGTGGAATCATCACAGGTGTCAACTATTAACTTTTTCTTGGTAGTGATGTGTTTTCTTAAACCATTTCTTAGAATAATTTTATTGCATATAGAATGAGGTCTCCAGCTTGCAAGCTTTTTGTCCCAAGAAATACAGCTCTAGCACCTCGACTTCCTTAATATGTTACCATGTAGGACAGCTATCTATCTCAGCAGGGAATAACCTTACCTAAAGGAATCTGTCTTCCTGTTTAGGCAGTTAGAGGCAATGATACTGTTTTGGGAGGTGTTGTGGTTTAAACCCAGTCAGGCAATTCGTTCACTCACTTCCCCCCCTTTCTGCCCGCCCCCTGCTCCCGGAGAGACGGAGAG